CCCAGGACTGATCTCCTTTAGGATGGACTGGTTGGATCTCCTTGCAGTCCAAGGGACTCTCAAGAGTCTTCTCCAACACCACTGTTCAAAAGCATCAATTCTGCGGCACTCTTCTTTCTTTATAGACCAACTCTCACATCCATACATGACCCCTGGAAAAACCATAGCCTTAACTAGATGGACCTTTGTTGACAAAGTAATGTCTCTGCTTTTTAATATGCTGTCTAAGTTGGTTATAACTTTCCTTCCAAGGAGTAAGCATCTTTTAATTTCATGGTTGCAATCACCATCTGCAGTGATTTTGGAGCCCAGGAAAAAGAAAGTCAGTCACTGTTTCCACTGTTTCCCCATCTATCTGCCATGAAGTGATGGGACCAGATGCCATGATCTTAGTTTTCCGAATGTTGAGCTTTAAGCCAACTTTTTCACTCTCCTCTTTCACTTTCATCAAGAGGCTCTTTAGTTCTTCACTTTCTGCCATGAGGGTGGTGTCATCTGCATATCTGAGGTTATTGAGATTTCTCCCGTCAATCTTGATTCCAGCATGTGCTTCCTTCAGACCAGCGTTTCTCATGATGTACTCTGCATATAAGTTAAATAAGCAGGGTGACAATATTCAGTCTTGACGTACCCCTTTTCCTATTTGGAACCAGTCTATTGTTCCATGTCCAGTTCTAACTGTTGCTTCCTGACCTGCATACATGTTTCTCAAGAGGCAGGTCAGGTGGTCTGGTATTCCCGTCTCTTTCAGAATTTTCCATAGTTTTGTGATCCACACACTCGCTCCTTGCAAGAAAAGACAAACCTAGACAGCATATTAAAAAGCAAGACATTACTTTGCTGACAAAGGTCCATCTAGTTAAAGCTACGGTTTTTCCAGTAGTCATGTATGGATGTCAGAGTTGGACCATAAAGAAAGCTGAGCGCTCAAGAATTGATGCTTTTGAACTGTGGTGTTGGAGAAGACTCTTGAGAGTCCCTTGGATTGCAAGGAGATCAAACCAGTCAATCCTAAAGGAAATGAGCCCCTGAATATTCATTGGAAGGACTGATGCTGAATAGAATACAATACTTTGGCCACCTGATGTGAAGAACTGACTGATTGGAAAAGACCCTGATGCTGGGAAAGATTGAAGGCAGGACAAGAAGGGGACAACAGAGGATGAAATGATTGGATGGCATCACCGACTTGACGGACATGAGTTTGAGCAAGCTCCGGGAGTTGGTGATGGACAGGGAGGCCCGGCGTGCTGCAGTCCATGGGGTCACAAAGAGTCAGACACGACTGAGTGACTGAACTGACTTGAAAGTCCACAGTGTTTTCTGAAAGTGTCCAAGTCCTTGTTCTTTATTATTTCTTTAGACTCAAGAGCAAGATTGATGAAGTTTCGTATCACCACACACAAGCTGTTTTCCCTTGGCCTCCACTCATCCCAGGATGAGTGACTATACCTCAGTAGGATAGTTTGGGGATGGGGGTAACATCCCCAGTAAGCCAGTAAGCGCCTAAACTAAGTTCTTCTGATGGTGTACGGTTGGGATGTTCAGTAATTTTCTGGCAGACAGAATCTTTGGAGGGTCAAATTTGATTAGGTTCTTTGATAAGGAGTTTTGTTGTTTGTGTGTCTTTCTTGACCTCATGTTGCAGAGCCTCCTGCCTAGTAGCTGTTGTCATTTTTGTTGCCTGTTTTCTTAATGAGCCCTTTTCAAGAAATGGAAAATTGTTTGACCAGTAGAAAAGACTAATCTAGTTTGGGCAGGGATTTTCAGCTCAGGAATTTGGATTTTCTGAATAGAAGCAAAGCTTACATATGTTTTTGCCTTTCTAAGAGATGGTTCTGATTGTCTGAACTACTTTTCATTGTCATTACAGATAGAATTTTTTTTTTTAATATTTATTTGGCTGTGTCAGACCTTAGTTGCAGCATGCAGGATCTTTAGTTGCAGCACTTGAGCTCTTAATTAGTGCATGTGGGATCTAGTTCCCTGACCAGGGATCATACCTGGGCCCCTTGCAATGGGAGTATGGAGTCTTAGCCACTGGACCACCAGGGAAGTTCCACAGATAGAATCTTAGTGGCCGGCAGCTGCTCTGTGTTTGACTTTCCTAGTCTTAAACTAGCAAGCCATTCTATTTTCTTCACATCTTTAATAGAGCCGGATCAGAAAATTTGTAAGTGCACCATGTCATCATAAATACTCATTGTTCTTATTTTAAGACATTTTGGTTCTAAAAGCATGAGTACTTCTGTTATTATCTGCAATATTTTTTTTGTGTGTGGATATTTAAGACCTTTTTAATGGCAGTATATATTTTTAAAACAGACGTTAAAAATTAACATTCCCCCACATGCCCAGAGCGTGTGGAGAACCAGGTTGGGATGTGTGGGTGAGCAGTAGGCAGCCAGGTGCCTCTGCGGGCTCTTCAAGGACTGGGATGAGCAGCTTACATCTGCCTAGAATTTGGGGGAAATAAAGTCTGCATTTTAGTTGATGCTCATTCTCAGCATTGTTGTCTTTGTTAGTTCATAATGGAAATCTCATCTTCAAATTGTCCAGCATCTGGTTGAGTATCTGCTACGTGTAAGATGCCAGGTGATGAGGGGCCCTTGGGGAGGACATGCAAGTTTCTGGCTCTTCCTGAGGTCCCCAGTGTCAGAGACCTGGTGTTGGGCAGAGACTGCACTGACCAGCCTGAGGCCTCTGGGGACATATGCAGCTGCTCCATGTCTGACTTGACTAGAGCCTTCTTCTAATTCTGGACTGAAAGCAAACAGGAATTTGGAGGAGGATGACGAGAATTCACATCCTGTAGTTGGCTTCTATAATGCAGTGGTTTGAGAGATTTGTGTGTGTGTGTGCTAAGTTGCTTCAGTCATGTCTGATTCTTTGCTACCATATGGACTGTAATCTCCCAGGCTTCTCTGTCCATGGGATTCTCCAGGCAAGAATACCAGAGTAGGTTGCCATGCCCTTCTCCAGGGGATCTTCCTGAGATAGGGATCGAACCCACATCTCCTAGGTCTCCTGAGTTGGCAGGTTCATTACCACTAGTGCCACCTGGGAAGCCTTTGAGAAATATAGTGTTTTTTCAAAGTTTTTAAGAACTTGCCTCTTTCCAGAAAGGGTTTGAGACAACTTGAGAGACACACACACCCACACATATATATAGATATATAGATAAAATGGGGAATCAGAGCAAAGGACAGAAGGAGCAAAGGACAGCTTCCTAAGCTCTTAGGAAGGGTTGGCATGATTGCAGAGATGGTCAAAATGGGTCCCAGCTTCTTTTAGCCAGAGTGGAAAGGATGGTGCCATTAATTCAGGGCAAGGAAAGGACTTGAACGGTAGTGGAGGATCTTGTGGGTGCTAGGCACAGTCTTATCCCCATTTTACAGAGGATAAAACTGAAAGGTAGAGAGTCACTGGGCTGAGACTTGAAACCTGCTGGGAACCAGCCTTGAAGCCTCAGGTTAACTCTGGAATGTCAATCTGTTATCAGGAGGTGGAAGAATTTTGGTTTCTTTGGGTGGAAGACATTTTTGCTAATGAAACATTTTCTCTAAGGCTGTACTTTATATTCTTCCAGTTTTTTTCCCCCTATATATATAATAACAAGTGTAATAAATACTTTTTCAATCATAAAAAGTTCTACTGTATCCTGTTTTGGTTCAGTTCAGTCGCTCAGTCGTGTCCGACTCTTTGCGACCCCATGAATCGCAGCACGCCAGGCCTCGCTGTCCATGACCAACTCCTGGAGTTTACTCAGGCTCATGTCCATCGAGTTGGTGATGCCATCCAACTATCTCATCCTCTGTCGTCCCCTTCTCCTCCTTCCCTCAATCTCTCCCAGCATCAGGGTATCCTCTTTAAGGCATCACTTATCATGGGTAGCTTTCCATGGCAGAATGACTAGATCAAATCCATTCACTGTTTTTTTTTTTTTTTAAGATTTCTTTTTTGGGGGTATGTGGACCATTTTTTAAGTCTTTATTGAATTTGCTACAATATCGTTTTGTTTTTTTGGCTGCAAGGCATGTGGAATCTAAGCTCCCCAACCAGGGATCAGACTTGCACCCGCTGCACTGGAACGTGAAGTCTTAACCACTAGACCTCTAGGGAAGTCACATTCATTCATTTTTAATATCTGCATCTTAACCTATTGTTTAGATATATTTTAGCAGTCTCTTAGTGATGGCTATTTGATTTCCAGGGTTTCTTTTTCACATATTACAAACAATTCTGCAGTGAATCTCTTTATTGACAAACTATTGCAAATTCCTATGAAATAAATGGTCAGAAGTAGAATTACTGGTTCAAAGGGTATGTGATTACATTTAAAAATTTAAAAAAATTCTTAAATTGGATAATTGCTTTACAGAATTTTGTGGTTTTCTGTCAAACAACAAGATTCAGCCATATGTATGCTCATGTCTCCTCCCTCCCCAACCTCTCCCCATCCCACTCTTCTAGCTTGTCACAGAGCCCTTGTTTGAGAGTTAAATTTTTAATAGAAACTGTCAGATTACCTTCCAAACTGTTTAAGGAAAAGATTGTATCATGTTTATTGTCTACCTCCTATATTCTGCCTGGTGCCGAGAGGAATGCAGAAAGGATGCAAAAGGGTTTGTTGCCCTCCAGGAGTCTCCATCTATGCGGTGCATCTAATCAGTCCTAGGGACTGTCTGGGGTGTCGACCTGGGTGGGTGGGTGAGTGGCTGGATTTAATTCAGCTTTTCAAACTTGCCTTGCAAACACTGTGCGTGGTGTTTAGGAGTTGTCTTTTATTGTATTGATTCTCTTGGGTAACGGCTGTAATTTCCTTAGGGCAGGGACCTCATCCTACCTGAGACTTACAGAGTGTCTCACACATCTTCATAGCTTTGTGAAGACATTGTAATTATAACATGTCAGGCAGTATTCAAGGATCTAAGTGAGAACATTTCCTTTTTTTGGGGGGAGTGTGTATGAAGAATGAATAACTTTGGCATTCTGTACAGGTCATGGAATATCAGCCTGGAGGGGATTTGCTGTCACTTTTGAATAGATATGAAGACCAATTAGATGAAAATATGATTCAGTTTTACCTAGCTGAACTGATTTTGGCTGTCCACAGTGTTCATCAGATGGGATATGTGCATCGGTAAGTGAGTCTCTGGTAGTCTACTGAGAATTTATCTGTATCACCTAAGACTTCCTAAAATGGAGTGAGTGATTTCAGCATCAAAATAATTCTTCATCCAATTTTTAGCCAGTCTTCACCAATAATTGGCTTAAGGCAAATTGTGCAAAATGGCAGGCGTTTCTGCTTACCCATTCAACAATGAAATAGATCTAAAATTGTAGTCTTCTTACATTTGCTAGTAAGATCTGTTAATGTGGCTAATAAGAGGAGCTCTTGCATGGATTTTTTGGGTGCTATCATAGGAAAACCAAATTTGATTTGCACAAGGAAGCGGCCTACCACACAGAAACAGAAGACAATGTAGTTGTACTTCTGACCTCGCCCGTTAGTAATCGACAAAGGTGTTCTCCCAAATCCTCAATCTGAAAGTGTTTCTTTACATCTTCACTAAAATGTAAATTTTATGAGCATCTGAGAATGTTGTGGGAACGGAATGCTGGTTAGACCAGGAACCACAAAATCCTGAGTAGAGTTTGGTTTTTTTCCATTTACTAGCCATATGACCATGAGCAAACCCCTTAGCTTCTTGTGGCCTTAGTTTTCCTAATATAAAATGTGTATCTTGAGGAGAACTAATCCATCTAATAACAGGTGTTTGTTCCCTTTCCTTTTCTGCTTCCCTTCCCCTCCCTCCCTCCCTCTATTCTTTCTGTTTCTTTTGCTTAAATTTATTTTGTAAAATGCTTATTACATATGTCCATCAGTAGGCAGGTCTGTGTGGCAAAACCATAGACACTAAGATTCTTGGCTGAATCATGATCCTAGGTCTGCAGTTGCTTGATGATTGGCATGGAGAAGTCAATACTAATTTATGGCCTTAATTTCCATACAGAGACATCAAGCCCGAGAACATCCTCATTGACCGAACTGGACACATCAAGCTGGTGGATTTTGGATCAGCTGCTAAAATGAACTCAAATAAGATGGTAACAAAACAGAATAAGATAACTTAATTGAACTTATACTACAAAGTGTTCTGAGGTCCTCATAAGTTTGGACAATATGGGATAAAGTTGAGTGACACTCTGAAGCCTTTATCTGCCAGCTGTGAAATTATTTCTCTGCAGGGTGGGTGGGGATGGGTCACAGAGCTATTTTCCAGACTTACTTGACCTGGGACCCTTTTATGTAAAATGCCTGTTAATACCGTACAAAACATTTTAAGGAACAGTCTTGTAGTTTGGTTAAAAAAAAGGGGAAAATACTTAACTTTGTTTTTCCCTTCATTTTCCTTGCTTATTAATTGATTGTCTTCTGTTACATTCTCTTTTTCATCTTAAATATTTTGATGAAATGAAACCTTATTTATCTCAAATCCTTTACTTCATAATGCAGTGCAATGAAAATTAATCACTAGAGCATTTTAACCAGGCATTAAGCATTAAGAACCAAGTGCTCAAAATGTCAATTCTAAGTCCTGGACCTTCGGTAAAAAGTAAGCTGTATTCCACATGTTAATTATTATTAAGCTGTATCCCATGTGCTAATAACAAGGCAAGAGGGTAGCTATTGAGGTCAAGAACGAGAATACTTTAGGAAAAAGATGACAAAGTAAAAGAAAATTAGATTTTAAAAACCTCATCAAGTTGGCACATGCTAAAATGTAAATTTTCAAGTCAACTATGCAAAAAAGGGTGAGTCTAAGAGAAAATCGACTTAGATTTTAAGACTTATTTCCCAACTGAATTACTTGGTGACCTGTAGAAATCCTTAGGAACTTGGGCTTTTATTCTTCCTCTAGAATATTACTGATTCTAGTTAAGATGCAGAAATTAAGGGAGAGCCTGCTCTTCAAAATACCCCTGGCTCTGAGAGTTTAGTCCTTATAAAGGGCAACATATAAAATTGCCTTTCTTTTTCCTTCTCATGTTCCTTGGGGAAAGGTGGGTATTATATTTGGAAAAGGCTCAAGGTTGTGTTAACTCTTTGCATGCCAGAGTTTCACCTCGCTGTTCCATTGACTTGAGGCCTATTTGACATAACTTCTTTCAGGTTCAGGCTCTTGGGAAAACAGGTTGTTTAATGTTGTGTGAGGTCAGGGTTTTTCAGCCTCAGCGTTGGTTGTCCCCTCAGATTAGGTGTTTATAATCTCTTCTACTTGATCATTACATTAATAATGAGAGTATCAAAGAATTTTATGTTTTAAAGTGAAAGTGTTAGTTGCTCAGTTGTGTCTGACTCTTTGTGACCCTGTGGACTGTAGCCCACCAGGCTCCTCTCTCCATGGAATTCTCCAGACAAGAGTACTAGAGTGGGTTGCCATTTCCTTCTGTAGCAGATCTTCTTGACCCAGGGATTGAACCTGGGTCTTCTGCATTGCAGGTAGATTCTTTACTGTCCGAGCCACTAAAAATTATGTACAATTCAGATTCAGGCATGAAAACTTAGGTATTGGATTTAGTAGATTAAAGTACAGGAAAAAAAGTTAAATTATACAAAATTTTACCATCTGGGATTCAAAAACCCATGCCTTGCATTAGTGATCTTAATAAATTCAGGCATCTAGAAATAAAATGAAGCATAGGTATGTAGTCAGAGCCACTAGCATTTTAATCTAGAGAATTCTCTGTGGTAGGGACTGTCCTGTGTGTTGTGGGATGTTTAACTGCATCCCTGGTCTCTACCCTCTAGATGCCAAGTAGCCTCCCCTCCAGTTGTGACAACCTAGTGTAACTCCAGACATTGCCCAGTGTTCACTGGGGGACAGAATCACCCTTGGTAGAGGACCTCTGCCATTGATGGAGAAGCATCAGAAGGCTTAATAGAGCTGGCAATATGTGTTTGTGATTAGAAAGCCTGCTTGGAGAATTGGATCATGATCCAGAGTCATTGCTTGGAAAATAAATGGGAATAAAGAGTAAGGTCCTGGGATTTCCCTGGTGGTCTAGTGGTCAAGAATACGTCTTCCAGTGCAGGGGACACGGTGGTTCCATCCTTGGTGGGGAATATAATATCCCACATGCTGTGGGGCAATTGAGCTGGTGCACCACAGCAAGAGAAGCTTGTGTGCCACAACTAGAGAAAATAGAGGCCCCGCATCACAATGAAGACACAGTACAAACAAGAAAAAAAAGAGTAAGGTCTCTGCATCTGGAGTTACTCTCTTCAGAGCCCTTGGTGGAGATGGGACTGCTTTTCATTTCAGATTTCTGTTTTCCAGTGCTGCAAACTGCCTTTTTCAGTTCTTCAGATGGTAGCAACATTCCCTTCAGGCGGTGAGCCTAGGAGCAAATAAGTGAAGTGAAAGTGAAATCGCTCAGTTGTGTCCGACTCTTTGCGACCCCGTGGACTGTAGGCCACCAGGCTCCTCCGTCCATGGATTTCCCAGGCAAGAATACTGGAGTGGGTTGCCATTTCCTTCTCCAGGGGATCTTCCCGACCCAGGGGTTGAACCGGGTCTCCTGCATTGCAGGCAGACACTTTAACCTCAGAGCCACCAGGGAAGCCCAGGAGCAAATAAACTCAGGTTTATTTGCTGCTCAGTGGTTCAGCCCTGATTTTTTTGGTCAAGGAGATAATGGCCCTCAGTTCTACTCACTTGAGAATGCTGTAGCTCCTCTTCTCTTAGAGAATCTTCTCTCCAGAGCTTTGTGCTCTTAGAGCTCAAATGTGTAAAGCAGTTGAGGAGGAATTTTTGGCATTGTTTTAAGTGAAAAGTCCTTTTTGTTATAAACAGTAATTTGCAATCTAGATCAAGTCAAGTATGGATATAGAATTAAAACTTTTTTGGTATTTTTGATCAGTGGTGGTGGGTAAAATACATGTTTCCTTTAAATAGGATGTTTTATAGATCTAAAATAGGTTTTAAAAGTTTTTTTATATTCAAAATATACTGTATAAAATATAATTTGGAAATTTCCTGGCAGTCCAGTGGTTAGGACTGTGTACTTCCACTGTAGGGGGCTATGAGTTTGATCCCTGGTCAGGGAATTAAGATCCCGCATGCCTCATGGTGTGCCCTGCTCCCAAATACACACACACACACACACACACACCCTCTGTCACACTCACACACTCATTGGAATTATTGTATGTTATCCACACACACACACCCCCCCTCTGTCACACTCACACACTCATTGGAATTATTGTATGTTATCCCAAATCCATTTATCATTTTCCTTGCCACTGCCACATATTGTCTGTGTATTTTGGGTACTTGTGAATCTTAGCTCTGTTGAGTTTCTCACCTTCCATTGTCTTTATTTAAGCTTTTTAGTCAGAGTGTTGCTTGAGGGTATTTTTGTTAGTGAACACAGGTGGACCATATTGCCTGGAGGTTTGGGTGTTGAGCAGAGATGTCACCTACTTCCCCTTATTAGAACCTCAGAGAATGGCAGATAGCTAACAGTTCCAACCTGTCTCAGTTCTCATGAAAACAATTGTAAGGAGATTATAAATCAAGAGCATTATAGCATGTTAAGTGATAATCACTACCATTTAGCAGTTGGAAACCCATCGGAGATAACCCTTTTTGAGATTTATGGATTAGTGAAAAGATTTTATTCTTTTCCATGAGAAGAACAACATAGTGAGAATATTTCCTCCCCTGCTTCTGCAGGTGTGTATCTATGCCCTGGACAGCTAGAGGAGGAAAGTTAGGTTCAGTTTTCTGTATAAGCATTTTCAGAGAAGGGGATTGGGAGGAAGAAGATGGGTTTCCTTACCTTCTTCTCTGTCTGCTTTTTGCTTGTTAGAGAATCTGCTAGTTTTGTAAGAACAATCTGTTGGGTTAATGCTCTCTTTTCTTTTCTTTTCTTCCCCTTCCTTCCCCTTGCCTCCCTTTCTTCCCCCTCTGTCTCTCCAAAATATGACAGACTTTTCTGTCTCCTAGTCATTTGATTATTATCTCCTCCTGAACCGGTATACTTTCTTCCCTGTCAGTATGGGGAAAATCAAAGTTCAGTAAAACTGGGGTCTTGTTAGATGATGTACTGCAGGCAGGCTGGGTTCCTGGTACATGGTCCCAGATCGGTCCAGTATCACCCGGATGGGCTGGGTGTGAATTGCCACCAGAGCAGAGTGAAAGGACCTTGCAAGATCCCTATCAGGAATTGTGAGATGACCTGTTGAACAGGTTGAATGTACTCGGAGGTCAGGAACAAATAGAAACTTAGTAGTCCTTGAAGGTGAAAGTTGCTCAGTCTCGTCTGGCTCTTTTTGACCCCATGGACTATATAGTCCTTGGAATTTTCTAGTCCAGGATACTGGAGTGGGTAGCCTTTCCCTTCTCCAGGGGATCTTCCGACCCAGGGTCTCCTGCATTGCAAGTGGCTTCTATACCAACTGAGCTCTCAGGGAAATGCAAGTAATTGTCATTAAAAGTCTTTGTTAATGGTAATTACTGTAGTAGGAGATGTACAGAAAACAAGCTAGGGAATATTTTTCTTAAAATTTTGGAAATTTGCAAAGTTATTGGACATAAAATGTATACAGTCACGTACCTATTATGGAGCAGAAATCAGTTGTAGAGTGATCTGGCTCTCTGATAACTCTAACCATTTGTTTGAAAATGAGGCATTCACAGTTTATACCTCTTGATGGGTCATGCTGATAAACATGTCCCAGCCAACTTTCTTTCAACTCTGTTTGTGAACAAGTGACCAAGCCCTGGGAGTTGTCAGCAAGGAGAACTGAATATTCCCAAACAATCCAATGTGATGACAAAATAAACCCTGATATGTAGAAATAATGAATATTTGAGGATTGTGTTTTAATGGTTCTGCAGAATAATCAGGCATAAAGGGTAAGCATGTAATCAATGATACAGTGGAATTACCAATACCTAGTCAAACCAGGATGTTACAGTTTTCCATCTCTTGTTTTTTAATGTATTTTTGATAGTACTTAAAAAAAAATTGGTTATTTCCAGTTCAGTCACTCAGTCGTATCTGACTCTTTGTGACCCCATGGACTACAGCATGCCAGGCCTCCCTGTCCATCACCAACTCCCAGAGTTTACTAAAACTCATGTCCATCGATTTGGTGATGCCATCCAACCATCTCATCCTCTGTCCATCCCCTTTTCCTCTCACCTTCAGTCTTCCCCGGCATCAGGTTCTTTTCAAATGAGTCAGTTCTTCACATCAGATACCAAAGTGTTGGAGTTTCAGCTTCAGCATCAGTCCTTCCAATGAACACCCAGGACTGATCTCCTTTAGGATGGACTGGTTGGATCTCCTTGCAGTCCAAGGGACTCTCAAGAGTCTTTTCCAACACCACAGTTCAAAAGCATCAATTCTTCGGCACTCTGCTTTCTTTATAGTCCAACTCTCACATCCATACATGACCCCTGGAAAAACCATAGCCTTGACTAGACAGACCTTTGTTGACAAAGTAATGTCTCTGCTTTTTAATATGCTGTCTAGGTTGGTCATAACTTTCCTTCCAATGAGTAAGAGTCTTTTAATTTCATGGCTGCAATCACCATCTGCAGTGATTTTGGAGCCCAGAAAAAGAAAGTCAGTCACTGTTTCCCCATCTATCTGCCATGAAGTGATGGGACCAGATGCCATGATCTTAGTTTTCCGAATGTTGAGCTTTAAGCCAACTTTTTCACTCTCCTCTTTCACTTTCATCAAGAGGCTCTTTAGTTCTTCACTTTCTGCCATGAGGGTGGTGTCATCTGCATATCTGAGGTTATTGAGATTTCTCCTGGCAATCTTGATTCCAGCTTGTGCTTCATCCAGCCCAGCGTTTCTCATGATGTACTCTGCATATAAGTTAAATAAGCTAGGTGAAAATATACAGCCTTGATGTACTCCTTTTCCTATTTGGAACCAGTCTGTTGTTCCATGTCCATTTCTAACTGTTGCTTCCTGACCTGCATACATGTTTCTCAAGAGGCAGGTCAGGTGGTCTGGTATTCCCATCTCTTTCAGAATTTTCCACAGTTTATTGTGATCCACACAGTCAAAGGCTTTGGCATAGTCAGTAAAGCAGAAGTAGATGTTTTCCTGGAACTCTCTTGCTTTTTTGATGATCCAACGGATGGTGGCAATTTGATCTCTGGTTCCTCTACCTTTTCTAAATCCAGCTTGAATATCTGGAAGTTCATGGTTCACGTATTGCTGAAGCCTGGCTTGGAGAATTTTGAGCATCACTTTACTAGCGTGTGAGATGAGTGCAATTGTGCAGTAGTTTGATCATTCTTTGGCATTGCCTTTCTTTGGGATTGGAATGAAAACTACCTTTTCCAGTCCTGTGGCCACTGCTGAGTTTTCCAAATTTGCATATTGAGTGCAGCACTTTCACAGCATCATCTTTTAGGATTTGAAATACCTCAACTGGAATTCCATCACCTCCACTAGCTTTGTTTGTAGTGATGCTTTCTAAGGCCCACTTGACTTCACATTCCAGGATGTCTGGCTCTAGGTGAGTGATCACACCATCGTGATTATCTGGGTCATGAAGATGTTTTTTGTACAGTTCTTCTGTGTATTCTTGCCACCTCTTCTTAATATCTTCTACTTCTGTTAGGTCCCTACCATTTCTGTCCTTTATTGAGCCCATCTTTGCATGATATGTTCCCTTGGAATCTCTAATTTTCTTGAAGAGATCTCTAGTCTTTCCCATTCTATTGTTTTCCTCTATTTCTTTGGATTGATTGCTGAGGAAGGCTTTCTTGTCTCTCCTTGCTATTCTTTGGAACTCTGCATTCACATGGGTATATCTTTCCTTTTCTCCTTTGCTTTTCACTTCCCTTCTTTTCACAGCTATTTGTAAGGCCTCCTCAGACAGCCGTTTTGCTTTTTTGCCTTTCTTTGTCTTGGAGATGGTCTTGATTCTTGTCTCCTGTACAATGTCACGAATCTCCGTCCATAATTCATCAGACCCTTTGTCTATCAGATCTAGTCCCTTAAATCTATTTCTTACTTCCACTGTATAGTCATAAGGGATTTGATTTAGGTCATACCTGAATGGTCTAGTGTTTTTCTCCAGTTTCTTCAATTTAAGTCTGAATTTAGCAATAAGGAGTTCATGATCTGAGCCACAGTCAGCTCCCGGTCTTATTTTTGCTGACTGTGTAGAGCTTCTCCATTTTTTGCTGCAAAATATATAAATCAGTCTGATTTCTATGTCAACCATCTGGTGATGTCCATGTGTAGAGTCTTCTCTTGTGTTGTTGGAAGAAGGTGTTTGCTATGACCAGTGCGTTCTCTTGGCAGAACTCTGTTAGCCTTTGCCCTGCTTCATTCTGTACTCCAAGGCCAAATTTGCCTGTTACTCCAGGTGTTTCTTGACTTCCTCCTTTTGCATTCCAGTTCTCTGTAATGAAAAGGACATCTTTTTGGGTGTTAGTTCTAGAAGGTCTTGTAGGTCTTCATAGAACTGTTCAGCTTCTTCAGCGTTACTGGGTCGGGGATAGTCTTGGATTACTGTGATATTGAATGGTTTGCCTTGGAAACGAACAGAGATCATTCTGTTACACACACATTAAAAGACAGAAGTCTTGGCTCAGGCTTCCTGACATCAAAGTTACCTTTTGACTGAAGCTACTTTCAGTTCCTCAAGGTTAAGTTGTCCTGTTTTAGACCAAATGTTTTCTCCTTTCTCCTCACTTTAGTCTGTCAGCACAGGCCTGTGAATTTCTTGGGTGGTGTGACCCTTTAGTTTTCCTAAATATGTGTTTGTAATGGAAGTGTTGTTGCCCAATGGCTGAATGGTTCAAGAACAACAATATCACACTATTCTCTGGGTTTAGGGTTTGAAACAAACCTGTGGTGGGCCTGAGGGAAGGGGTAAAAGAGAGGGAGTAGGAAGAATGAATTTGTTTTCTTTAACAATGGGTCTTTGGGAATGGGCAAGATTGAAGTTTCAGGCTGGAAGAGCTTGTCCTTCTTCACTGGGTAAAGGAGACTCCTAACATCTTCTCTAAACATGGATTTCCTCTCAATCTCTATTCAAATCAAAGCAAAGCAAATTGATTTTCTTGATATAAAGCTCAGCCTTAAAGATGTGTGGTCACACCTATAGAATCTCTTAGCTCAAATAGGGGCACTTAATGCCCTTTAATGGGGGGAGAGGTCTTTTTACCTTGTAACTACTGATATGAGAGAATCCTTTTTAGATATAGGGTTATTGGGCAGCTGGTCAACCCAGTATATGATCAGTATCAGGCCCTCTCTGTTTCGACAGGAAAGAGGGTTAGAGAGGTGATCTTTCGACTTCAGATTTCATGGCTCAATAAAGCTTCAAGACAGTTTTGAAGACCCAAAGGTTGCCAGCTTACTAGGGTGCCTAGGAAGGAGTGGGAGTGAGGGGTAGAAAACATACCTTTTCATCAGCATCATTTCCGAAAGCAAAGGATGTTTAAACACTAAACCAGTCAAGACAAATTCTAAGAAATAAGGACAGTTCCTTAAATGGATTGTGTTTAGCTTTATAAAGAGACAAAGCTACATTGCCCTGATATTTCTTTGTCAAGGTCATGTGCTTGAGAACCAAGGATTGGAGTGCTCTGTGTTTCTGAACAGTAGGAAGAGAATCAGAGGAGCAGGAGTTGGGAGTGAAGAAAATGAACTCATTAATAACATTTGACCTCTGGTGGAAGTTATTTATCATGTCTTGCCTTGTGGGTGGGCCGAATAGGAATATTGATTTCAAATATTTAAACTTGAGATAGAACACATGTTTACAATATTGTGTTGCCAGCAAGCTGCCAGTTTTCCAATAAAGGGTAGATTGATCTTTTAGATTCATCTTTAGACATTATCATTTTACTGTTTCCCTAAGAGAAGTTCTGTTGTATCAGTAAGAAGTATCAGGAAAGATATCTTCCTTTCCAGGTATGTACCCAACTTTCATTTGTGTAACCAAACAGTGTATATCATCAGCAATCCTGGCCCCTTTGCCTTTGGATTACATTATATGCTTTTTTTTTTTTTAAGTGAGTGACTCATTTGCATTTCCTGATGCTGTGCCACTTGACAGAAGGTTCAAGTGCCTGGGAGAATAGTAATCAGAGGCAAATCAGCTTATGTCTGAATTGTGGCTGCTGGCAATCTATTTGAGGATAATTGAAAATTTGCTGTGTTCATTTTATTTGCGGGTTTCCAGGTAAATGCCAAACTCCCGGTTGGGACTCCAGATTACATGGCCCCTGAAGTGTTGACTGTGATGAATGGGGATGGAAAAGGTGCCTATAGCCTAGACTGTGACTGGTGGTCAGTGGGAGTTATTGCTTATGAGATGGTTTATGGAAGATGCCCATTCACTGAAGGAACCTCAGCCAAAACCTTCAATAACATCATGAATTTCCAGGTAAAGAGCCCTTATTAGATTCTGAGGTAATATTGAGAAATGTCATTTTAAAATGGTACGAATGAACATTTATAATATAAACCAGAAGTTCCGGATAATAACAATAGCAAATACTTTATATAGCACTCTGTGCCAAAAGGAATTCTAAATGCTTTATTAATTGTATTATATTGACTCTCAGGTGCCAGTAATTGTTAAGTCTATGCCATCTTTTTAGGTATTAAAAAGGAAAAACTGCTACCAATTAATGCAGTATATTTTATTGATTATAAAATGCTTTGATTACAGTGATGTTAAATGTGAGTAAAATGGGGGTCACAGGATTTGTGGAATATGGTTCATTAATTTGGCTAATCCTCAGGCAGTCCTGTGAGATGATGATATTGTTGTTGTTATTTTCATTTTACAGATGAGGAAACCAAAGCACAGTGTGGATAAATAACTTGCCCAAAACAGCACAGGCAGTCTAGCTTTGAAATACGTGTTCTTGATATGCTACACTGTTTCTTAGTGCCACTAGCTGTCAAATATGGTTAAAATTCAGAGACATGGATAGAAATACTAATAGACACATAAAGTAGAATTAAAGCTATCGTCTAGAAACTGTATTTGTCATTATATTAGCCTGTTTCTTAAGGATATGATAAATATTCATGTTTTAGTTTCAACAAAAAGGAAAAAGAATTTATTTCACAGATTTTTGTGTATCCAATTTCTTCCTGGGATGCTTCGTACATATTTTTCTATATAAAATATACTTTTTGTATGCTTAATTCACACATACATTTTTTGCTATTCTTGTGTCTTCTCCTGAGTTAAAATCTCCCCCGAGATGATGCTTGAGTCTCATCTGTTTCCTTCATTTCCATCCATTCATTCAGTAACGAGTAACTCGTACTCGGCACTGTTAGGTCCCAAGTTTGCAGTGATGGGCAAGGAGAAAGGCCCTCTTGGCCTTCTTTCTCCATTATCACGTGGAAATCACAATACAGTGTGTCTGTGCACAAGCAGAGGACAGGGAGAGCAGGCAGGAGGGAGTGATGGAGTGGGAGAGGCAGGTGGGGGGTAGGCAGGGAAGGAGGGGCTCGGACTGGGGTAGCCTTCTGGGCAGAGAAAGCAGAGTGATTTGTTTGGGCAGCTTTAAATAGCACATCATTGTTGGATGGCAAAGAGCGAGGCGGAGAGTGTAGCTAGGTGAGACGGAAGGAGGTACAGAGATCAAATCATGAAGGGTATTGAACCCTTGCAAGGGAGCTAGGCCTATTGATGTGAAGAGAACATTTACTGTGGGAACATGCCTTTGGTCCAAAGTTAAGAGGACATAAAACTTCCTTCTTAAAAAAAAAACTTGAATATATGAGAACTACTTTTTTGTTTTATTTATTTGAGAACTACTTTTTTAACTTTGAGACACGAGAAGCTGATTTGCTAAGGGAATATTTTATTATTTTAAATTTTTTTTTGAAATAGCGATTCTTGAAGTTTCCAGATGACCCCAAAGTTAGCAGTGAATTGCTTGATCTAATCCAGAGTTTGTTGTGTGGCCAGAAAGAGAGGCTGAAGTTTGAAGGCCTTTGCTGTCATCCTTTCTTCTCCAAAATCGACTGGAGTAACATTCGTAACTGTAAGTAGAGTTGTATTCCTTCAGTTCTGGTATTGGGATTAAGAAACACTTAAAAGTGATCTGAAATTATTCTGCCTCCCAGAAGCTGGTATACATTATATAAGTAAGGGTTTTAATTATCTATAGGAATGGAAAAAGGTAATGATGTAGCTGTCTTGAGTAATATTTCTACTTTAACATTGTTTGCAGAGAACTGGATCATTTATCAAACTCTGTTTATGTGGCCTTTGGAGTATTATCCCTCAGTACATTAGAGGTACAGATTGATGGAATCTGAAGGTTGTCACTTGGTTTGTCAGAATTTCTTCCCAGAGGAAGAGTGGACCTAGCTATTTTGTTCACAAGATTAGGAAAAAGACTCAGAGATTAGGCAGAGTGCCAGCATTGCTCTGCTAATGGCCAGTCCTGCCCTAAAGCCATAAATGCCTTGCTGTGTTCGCTTGTTTCCCTCTAAAATATTTGTCTTTGCTCACAAGCACGTATAATGCATATGCAGAATAGATTCATTCATACATCACTTTGTTATCAATTACTGCAAACTGAATTCATTAAGAACAAAGACCTGATTTATTATCTACAAGTCCAAAATGCTTGATGTTTTACAAATTGGTCATTTTTTTCCAACCTTTTTATGCTTGGATGTGTTGATTGAATGAGATCTATAACCTGACTCAGTGATTAGCACAGATCAGAGCCTGTAGGAAAGCCATTGGCCTGGTTGAGTGTATGTCTGATTTTTGGTGATGAGGGAAGGCAGGGAAATGGAATCCATTTCTAGGTATCAAAACCAGGCTTCTAGTTGGAGCTGTGTTGTAACTGTAACCTCTTGAACCTTTAGCTGACATATAGGAGTTGGGTTAAGAGCCATTATTGTCCAGTTGAAAGCCATTTCTGTGGTTTCTCTAACCCTCTGCGAATTTTCTGTTGATCTTTTGTGGCAACTTTTTTTTTCTTCTAGTGGCCATGTTACTATATTTTTCAAGTCTTTCAGGGATCAACCCCCAAATCTCCATGAGTCAGGGCTTTTAATCAGAAGTACATTTTCAGTGCAATCTTTCTTTTTTGCTTTTGGAAAGATTTGATACAGTTGGTTCTTATTGCCACCCAAATACTTAATCTTTTCTTGCCTTACCTTTTTTATCTCCAGTCTTCTTAAATAGAGAGCTTCCCTGGTAGCTCAGATGATAAAGCGTCTGCCTACAATGCGGGAGACCCGGGTTCAATCCCTGGGTTGGGAAGATCTCCTGGAGAAGGAAGTGGCAACCCACTCCAGTATTCTTGCCTGGAAAATCCCATGGATGGAGGAACCTGGTAGGCTACAGTCCATGGGGTTGCAAAGAGTCAGACATGACTGAGCAACTTCACTTCTTAAATAAGCAGCTCATTTTCTTATTCTTGTCTTTGCCAGTTGTCTCCACCCATGTAAGTCAGCAAATGGTGATTAATTACCCAGGTAACTTTATTTTGTATTCTGGTAAACCTTGCTGATGTTTTGGTATTGTGTTAGAATTCCCATATTTTGTTCTAGTCTTTTCTTCTCGGGCTGTTTATAGGTTTTAGGCTTGTTGGGCTTCTGAGGCTAAGTACCATTCTGTAAATTACACAGTGCCCGGAGAGGATATGTGTTGGGAGAGCGCGTGGCCCCTACTGTGCATCACAAGGTCTGTCTTGTGGGAAGTCCTGGTTGTCGTTGGGATGAGATGATTCTGGGATGGGTCACTGCACACTTGACCGTCTTTGCAACTTGTTGCCTCCTCTTCACGTGAGGAGACTCACTGTGTCTTCTGTGACTCTACGTAATGTTTCCATATCCTGATAAATATCTGTTTAGTTTTTCCTCATCTTTAACATGTTTCTCACTTTCCCATACTGAGTTCATATGAGAGAATTCTCACCCAGCTGAATCCTGATTCTTTTCTTAAATATATTTTTAAAAATAAAAATTGTTTATATGTGAGACATACAGTGTAAAAATTTGATTTACATAGACACAGTGGAATGGCTACTACAGTCAAGCTAGTTAACACATTCATCTCCTCACAGTTTCCTTCCTCCTTTCCTGCCTCCCTCTTCCTCTTCTTTCCTTTCTTCCTTCTGTCTCTCTGTCCCTTTCTTCCTTTCAGAGAACATCTAAAATCTACTCTCTTAACAAAGTTTCAGTATTCAATACAGTATTCTTAAGTATGGTCATCACACTGTATTAATACATTAGCTCTCTAGGACTTGTTCATCCTACATTACTCCCAACTTTGTACATGTTCTCATTTCCCCCAACTCCCCACTTCTGGTGACCGTTTTTCTACTCCATGCTTCTGTATATTCAACTTTTTCAGATTCCACATATGAGTAAGATCATGTAGTTTTTTTCTTTTCGTGCCTGTCATAGTTCCCTTTGCATCATGACTTCCAGGTTCATCCATGTTGTTGAAAACGGCAGGATTTCCTTCTTTTTATTTTTAACGGCTGAGCAATATTCCTTCACACCTATTTAAATATCCATTCGTCCACTGATGGACACTTAGGTTATTCCCGTTATCTTGGCTCCTGTGGATAATGCTGCCATGAATGTGGGAGCACAGATAACTCTTTGAGGTACTGATTTTATTTTCTTCTGTATACCCAGAAGAGGGATTCCTGGATCACAAGGAATTTCTATTTTTAATTTTTTTTGAGCATCCTTTATACTGTTTTCATAGTGGCTGCACCAGTTTATCTTCCTACCAACCATGTACAAGGAGTCCCTTTTCTTCACATGCCCACCAATGCTGATTACCTCTTATCTTTTTGATGATAGCCAATCGAACAGGCATGAAGTGATAGCTCATTGTGGTTCTGATTTGCCTTTCCCCGATGATTAGTGATACTGAGCACCTTTTCATACACCTGTTGGTTATTGGTATATGTCTTCTTCAGAGAGATGTATTTTGATGTTCTTTGCCCTGAATCCCGATTCTAAAATTCTGACAGAAACTCTTGATGGTTTTTATTTTCTAACTCCCAGCATAGTGGTTCTGAAGAGTCATAAAACACATTTGTCTTAAAGGAACTTCTAGTAATTTTAGCAGCCCTTTTACTTTGGAATAATATCACATTTATAGAAAATTTGCAAAGATAGTAGAGTTCCCACATACCCTTCTTCCAGTTTCCCCTAATGATAGCATCCTACATAACAACGTCACATTTGTCAAAATAAGATTATACAATTAATTAAACTTCAGACTTACTCCAGTTTCACCGGCTTCCTCACTCATGCTCCTTTTTCTGTTCCAGGAATCCGTCCAGGGCACTATATTGCAATTAGAGTGCTTGTGGCTGATGACACTTTATCCTGGCTGAGGCACTTAATGTAGCTCAGCCAGTGAGTGGGATCTCCATGTCCTCTGAGGATTGATGGAGCCTTTTCCTGGTGGTTCTCAGGCATCCCTGTCTATGCAGAGAGCTGTGGTATTAATTGCAGTGTCTCCTAGCAGATTTTCCTGTTTTTCACCTACCTTCGATCCCTGTGTATTTGTAATCAACTGAGGGTTTGTGACTGAAAACATTGCTGGACTCCATGACATTTGGGCTATTTTCTAACTAGGTGGTTCTAACACAAATTATGCCTTTGTCCAGTCCCATTTTTCATAAACACACATTGAGTGACTCTCGTCAACCAAAGCACTTGAAGTTAGGTTTCCTGAGTTCCTGATTGCTGCTTAAATGCTTCGTGGTTCCAGGCTGTTGAATATTTCCACTTTCTACACAGGAGATTGTCCTTTGATGAAAGAAACATTAGCCTTTCTGCTAGTTCACCCTCAATTCTTCTTTTTCTTGTTATAACCAAGGAAAGGAAGTAATGCTTAACACAGCAGGTAATAATCTTCTAAAACTCATTATCTCAAGAGGTGGTCCAGGCAGAATATATAAATGCAGTTTCAGAAGGGTCTGGGCAAATGGATGAGTGACAGAATTGGGAGTGGTTACTGGGAGAAACTAGGACATGCCCTGGCTTTGACCCCTGAGGTTAGATGGAGCAGTTGGTCGTTTGGAGCATTTAGGTCCTACCCCTTGGAGTTGCTGTGGGCAACAATGTGCGAACCAAGAATCTGACCTAGTTTAGGGATATTTGTTCTCCTGGCAAGTCAAGAGCCCTCTGCCACACTCATGGGTCACGGTGCACCTCCTACCTTGATGTTTCATTCCCCGCCGCACATGGTCAGATATAAAGTTGAGTTTCTAGCTGCTGCTGCTTATTTCAAGGCTACTTTCCAAGTTTCAGTATTGGGCTTCTTAAGGATCCTAGCTGCCCTGGGCTGTGCAATTTCAGTGATGTTTCTGGTATTGGGCAGGAGTCTGATTGTGCCCTCTGCCTGATTTTCTGGGCTTCCGGAATGCGGAAGCCAATCAGTCCACCTCTTTCATGCCTTTGGGGTTATGCCTGCCTTTCCTGACATCAGGCACCTGCTCCGTCAGTGGCAGAGTTGTACTGTCCTGTGTGCCCTTCTCCTCACATGTTTTTATATCTTCCCCCAGAGACATAGTGATGTAAACAGAACCAGCACACTTGCACCTTTCGTCCAGACCCACCACGTCTCAACAGTGAGAAATGCATAATGAGAGTGTTGACTCTGGATCGTTTCCTAGAACCTCTATAGCTAATGCTCTAGAGAACTTGTTTTTATCTGTTGCTTATGACACAGGCTTCTTCTTTTGAGTCATCTTCATTTTACTCTTCTCAGAAAGGCACAGTTCTTGTAGAATTACTTTTGAGTTTCCAGGTTCTTAGCGTTTGTCACAGAGAGTACATTTCATTTCCATCCAGTAGTGACTCAGTGGTGGTCCAGTGCTGATAGCCCTGAGATAGTCCCTTGACAAAGGGGTCTCCGTTGTTGATCATTATTCACTACCTGGCACCTAAGGGCCATCACAGAATTGCAGGTGTACAATCCTTTGATTACTCCATAAGCCTAAGGGATGAAGGCCTTTGGTTTAAAGGAAAAGTATTCTAAGACTTCCTATCC